TAATAATAATTTTGAAGTAAAATATTTCAAATTGAAGTGAACTGAAGCAGGTTTTATTCCTGCTGCTGTGGACCACCGGCGATCTAAAGGGATTAAAGGAAGTAAAATAACMAAACGATGCAGGTGAAACTGTAAACACTCACCATGTGGCACGGAGGGAGGTGTTGGGGGGCCCGGGGGGGCCGTGCGGACACCACCAACAGCAGAAAGAGCAGCAGGAAGGCGGCCATGGCGCTGCAGAATGGTCCAGACCCRACAGATCACAGAGACCTGAAAGCAGGTTGTAGGTGTTACGAGTCAAATAAAAAAAAAGGAAGGAAGTGTGACACGATGACCTTTGGACTGATCTATTTCTGCTCTAAAACACACAAAAAAAGGGGCTTTTTTTAGTTTATTTTTTTCCTCCTATAGCCTCAGACACCGCTCGACATGACKCAGCAAATCGAGTCTTTCACTGGAAGTATCGAAGTAAAAAAAGTTAGCATCGTTTTTGTGTCACACTCGTGTGAGTCATCGGTTGTTGTTTTCTTTTAAGTCTTTTTTTTTTAACCGATTGTTTCCTGATGTGTCGTTTGTAGCAGAAAATCAAAAACGCTGCGTCACTCTGAGAGCAGACAGATGCTTCAGTGATGAAGTCGTGGTAAATGCCCACGAGCTGAGAAACAGGCGGAAATTTCACAGAATCTAAACGGTTTTCAGGGATAATTTAACCCAAAAATAAAAAAAACCTGTCAGACGTGATTAATACAGACAGACGTGTGAGAGGAAGAGGAAAATAAAAAAGCTTTTATTTAAAACTGCTTTAACCAGGAAAGATTAAGATCAGGTGTTTTCTGAAAGAGAACTAAAAATTACTTTTCTTCATCAAACAAGTCTTTCTGCAGTCGATGCCGACCTTTAGAAATAAAAGCACAGATATTTTAAAATGTACTCAGTCAAAACTATAAAGTCATGCATTAAAAAGTTTACCCTGAGCTTTGGTGAAGTTTAACTTGGTAGTTTCCCAGATTTATTAGGTTGTAATTCTGGAATGCGGGTCTGCACTCAATGTAAACAGAAGCACTTTTCTCTGCTGAGTGCAAATACTTCAAACGTGTTGGACTTTTCCAGCCATAACAGTTCTTTAATTTTGTTGCCACAATTTAAATATGATTTTTTTACCTAGTTTTTGTAGGTAAACAAACAAACAAACAAGGTAGTTTGCAAATTTTGCTTAAAAATATTTAAATTTCAGAGCACATTAATTATCAATGTCATGAAGACTGCCAAAAAACAACAACACAGCTCAACAATGAAAACAGCTCAACAATGGCAAAATTTGGGATCAAGAAGAAGTTTTACTCACATTTTCTGAGTAAGGTAAACAGATAGAAGTGTTTTGTTTACACTGAATGCAGACCCACATTTAAGAAACACAAACAAATCTGGAAAACTACTGAAGTGAACTTCTTCTAACTGCACCATTTTACATTGTTCTGAATGTATTATTTAAATGTTTTATGTTAAAGTAACACACATGAAACCAAAATCCTTGATACAAGTAGCGATATATATATATATATATATATATATATATATATAAGTTTTTAGTTCAGATATCCATGTCAAAAAACGAACGGCGTTTTGAGAAGTTTTATTATAAAAATATAATCAGATTACATGAATATATCTGTTTGTTTACTAATTTGTTATTTTTTAGTTTAGTCCTGTTTTTCTTCTACAATCAGGGTGCTGTAGCGCCCTCAGCACCCACAGTTAGAGGGTAGTTTTTTTACATTGTTAACCAGTAAGAGAAACCGCTACACATAAAGTATAAAATAAAGGGATACTTCAGGTCTTTTGAAGTTTTTTTTTAATCACTATGGGCAGCAGGAAGTGAGTTCTGACAGCCCTTCAGACCTGAAGCAGGATTTCCCTCTCAGAGAAACCGCGTGTCTGAAAAACACACGAGAAACATGTGTTTTGCACATGGGAGACGAATGATTTCAGAACGTTTTCCACATGTCTGTCTGGTTTCTTTATTCTGTTCAGGTTGTTTTGGACTCAGACTGATTTATTTTATTTCTATAGTTTGAAAAAGAAACATTAGTCTGATTTATCACATCTAAGATTTATTAAATAAAGCAGTAAATGAAAGGCCCAGCACTGCTTTAAAAGAATGCCTGTCACCCGCAGCAGAGTTTCAGAATAAAATCATCTGATGGAGTTAAATATGTTAAATTTTAGCTCAGCATCTGTAAAACTGGCTGACTTTGACCATGTTTTATTGGCTGACGGCCATCTTGAATTAACGCTAACAGTTAATGAGTTCATTAAATCCATTTGATCCTTCATGAGATATTTTATTGACAAAYAAAACTAACTCTAAAGGTTTATTATGAAGTTTTAAACACAAATGTTAAAATTAATGTTCTGTTTAAAATATGAATCGTTTAAAATAACTGAAGCTGATTTTTGTAAAGCAGCAATAAAAACTTTAATTTTTTTTACCTCTGAGATGCACAAAGTAGAAAAAAATTCAAAAGAAAAACTTTAGTTTTAAAAAACTGACATTAAACCAGTTTTATTCTGAAAGAATTCACTCAACTGTTTCTAAACGTGAGAAAATGAAGATTTATTTTAGTTTTCTGACTTGTTTTCAGTCTTAAAACATGTTTACGTACTTTTCAATCTCATATTTTCATTTTTTATCGTCCTAAACCTGATAATTGTTGCTTGGATCACAGATAAGTTCTCAGAAACTTTTTCCATCTGTTGAAGAAAATGTAAACAAAAGATAAAAATAAATTGTTTTTATAAAACATCTGGATGCTTTTGTTTTTAGCTCTAATTCAGGTCTGCTGCTCCCTCGCCTATAAAAACCTTGAGTTTTACCTGAGGATGACTAATCGTCCTCACAGCGCAGATCGAGGAGTTCTCCGGCTGCCTGAGTCCAACATCCTGTCAGAACATCCTTCATCGCTCGGCCTCTTCCTCCTCCCACCACGCTCAGGGGGAAACGCCAAATAAAGGACGGGGAAGATGTGTTTTTATGCTCTGGTCTGAAGAGGAAAACTCCTCCCCCTCCAAAAAGAAGAAAAAAAAATCAAAAACTTCTCATCCCCAAACGGGACGAATTCCTCAGAAAAACACGAGCTGAACATTGGAATCTGAAGCATTTATTAAATCATCATTAACTCAAGTTTTGATGCTATTTTTAAATTATAACCTTTTAAGGAAACAGCTTAAGTTCATCTGAGAGTTGTTTTGGTCAAAACTTAATTAAATGTGTTTTAGCTCAGAGTGAGGAGGACTCTCAACTACTACCAAACCAAATAGCTCAATATCTATAACAATGAATAAGTTTTAGCCATATTTTGTTTAATAAATTTAAAAAGCCATGGCGACAATCTTGAATCAAGTCGACTCCAGAAGTTAATCAGTTGAAGACGTTCATCCTGTGATTATTTTCTAGGAAATTCGTTAAGATCCTTCCAGTGATTCATGAGATATTTCGCTAACAGACAAGCAGACTCTTAAGACAGWTAAAGGTGAAGCTTTTGAACGCAGATCTTGCTCGATCAGTTGGCGCTCAGAGTATGTGTTAAGGATGACTCTCAGCTACCACCACAACTAATTTTAGCTCAGCATCTAAAGACATGAGTCACTTGTTGCCATTTTTGCGTTTGCTTAATTTGATTAGCTGTGGCAGCCTTCTTACATCAAGTTGACTCGAAAAGTTAATCAGTTGTGGACAAACTTCTAATATGTACTTCTTGAAAGTTTCATTAACATCCGTCCATTAGTTCAGGAGATATTTTGCTAACAGGCAAACAAGGTTCACTTAAACAGTTATTGCTCAACACAAAAGCAGCTAAAACTGAGCGTTTTGATTGTTTTGTGTTTCCTATCAGGTGATTTTAGCTTAAAAGGCTGAGCGAGTGGCAGCGGGTGACATGCATTCCTTTAAATAACATAAATCTTTTTATCTTTTTTATTAACCACAGAATAATATTTTCTGATTCAGAGAGCGTGTGGTTTGTTTCAGACGCTGTGATGAAAAGTTGAGTTTAAGGAGGAGAAATAAAACAGTCTGACTCAACATTCAGATGGAGTAACAAAGAGTAAACCACAAACCTTCTAACCTTTAAATAACCTTTACTTATTTCTCCTTTTCTACTAAAACATGTGATTTTTAGTTTTTTTATTTATACTAAAGTATTTATATTTTTTCAATTTGCTCCATAAACTTCAACAAATGACACTTAACTTTAATATACTTCTATCTATACT